TAAAAAGATTCTTTACTTTAATTTTCTATGAAAAACTAAAAGCATTAACATAAGGAACACTGAAAAAGACTCATAACCCTTAGCCTTCCAAAACTCTCTTGGTATTATGAGGTATTATGGAACATATATCAAAATCAAGCTCCTTTTTCAATCAATTATAACGGATTTTTTATGCCATAATACTGGATTTATTTAAAATAGTTTAATAACATTAAGGGATATTCCTTTTTTTTTTTTCTTTTTGAGACAGAGTCTCACTGTATCACTCTTGGTAGAGTGCTGTGGCATCACAGCTCCCAGCAACCTCAAACTCTTGGGCTTAAGCGATTCTCATGCCTCATGCCTCAGTGGCTGGGACTACAGGCACCCACCACAACGCCCAAGTATTTTCTTGTTGCAGTTGTCATTGTCGTGTTTAGCTGGCCTGGGCTGGGTTTGAACCCACCAGCCTCAGTGCATGTGGCTGGCAGAGTAACCACTGTGCTATAGGCGCCAAGCCAGGATATCACCTTTTTTAAAGTCAGTGCCGCTATAACTCATCCTGACTCTGTTAATTTCTAGCTTTCTCCAAAGAAACTCCATGAACATCAAATATCAAATGATGACAATATCCCAAAATGCTTTGCAAATCTTTCCAAGAATGAATAAAAGTCCAGGTTAAATAGGTTTCAGATACTAATCCTCATCAAGATGGACTTCACTCACTAATATTTTGATTATTCAACCTCCTGACTGATCAAAATTAAAATACCTCTGTACAATTATCGAGCACTTCTGGAAAGTATGAATACACAAATGATTTGTTATCCAAAAACATTCTTGTCATTTGACACCACCAACCACCACACTCTTCCATATAACTTTCTCCAAAATCTCTTTCAACTGTGGACTCTAATTCCTAAATTAACCATATATGGTAGTCCCCCCATCCACAAGGGGTATGTTCCAAGATCCCCAGGGGATGCCCGAAACCATGGGTAGTACCAAACCCTACACATACGTGTATGATACATTTCAATTTGGTAGGTAGAGTACTCTTGTGTTTGGGGGCCATTCTTAAGTAAAACAAGGGCTACTTGAACACTGCAATACTTCAATGGTCAGTCTGGTAACCTAACCAAGAGGGCTACAAGAAACAGGCGGCCTGTACAGTGTGGATACATGAGACAGAGGGATGATTCACAGCCCAGGGCTGATAGGACAGCTTGAGAACCACTGGCAACTTAAAACTTGGAATTTTCCCTGTAACTTTTATGCACTGCAGTTGACTTTAAGTAACTGACACCACAGAAAGTAGAAGTGCAGATGTGAAGGACCACTGTAATCTCACTCTTCCTACCTCAAGGCTAAAAATCAGTCTGTGGCTTAATCCTGTCTGTTTAGTTCACCTCCTCCTCCTCATATAGAAAGAACAAGGAAAACAAAAGCTCACACTCCCAGAACTGGATCCTGTTTTATATTTGGGTTCACGTGAGACCTAATTTACCTCATCTCATCAATGTCAGTAACAAATTTGAGAAAATAACTTTACATGTCTCTAACAGCAAATCAAATAAATATTTATTCTTCTTTTGGGAGTATAAAAGTAGATACAGTACAATAGTAGACAGAATAAAAACAGTACTATTAATGGAAATCAGTTGGAGTCCATGAAAGATTTATTGAATTGGGATTATTTTGCAAATTATACTTTTTGGGGGCAATTTTTGGCCAGGGGCAGGTTTGAACCTAATACCTCCGGTATATGGGCCCGGCGCCCTACTCCTTTGAGCCACAGGTGCCACCCCCAAATTATACTTTTAGTAAAAAGATGTGGTATAGCTTTTGCAATAAGAAATACATAAAAGAATCTGGGCATAGGATAGACTCTAAAATTTTTGTGAACAGTGACCTCTTCACTTCAGAATGAGCAATTTCATTTATTCGTAGACTTTCTGTTTTTTTCTAGAAGTCACATCCATCCTCCCTCCATATTTGATCAATTTTTTTTTATCCTGATTAACCCCACACTCTTATTTTCCCCATGATTGATTCAAAGAATGAGCTTTCTATACTATTCAAGAACGGGCTTTCTAGTACCATTACTTGATTCCTAATCACTACTATTTCCTGTTAAATTTTAATGAGAAGCCATGTAAAATATCTTTTAAAACCCAGATAAATAGGAACTGCACGTACTGACAAACCCACAAGGCTACAATATAAAACTCAGGCTGTTAACATCTTCAGCCCCTTTGGCGTATTCACAAAATCAGAAATGGTCAGATTCAACTTATTTTTACTGTAGGCCAAATTTAACAGTAACATGCACAGCTATGTTCTATCCCAATGATTTTAAATTACTTCGCAAAAACTTTAGCAGGCATTAGCATCAAAAGGAAAACAAGAATTGTTCTGCACAAAATGAGGATGGTTTTGTTGTCTTCTATACTAAGTAGCAACAGCTACTGACTACTCCTATAACAAAGTTTAAAATTTAAAGCAACTTTCTAATTAGTCCCCGTTCTTCTCTCAGATCCCAACTTAACTATCACTTCCCCAAGGAAGACTTACCTGACCTTTTCAACTTGGTAAATACCATACACCATCATATAGTCTCACTACTCAATGCAACTTCCTCCAACACTCAACCTGGTTGTAATTTTAAACATATTGCATGATCCTTTTCTTAAAAAGGACTGCTGACCTTTGACTACAGACATTTTCAAACACAAAAAGAAAATAGTAAAACGAACCCCAAGTATCCACAGTTGAGTGATTCTGCTGTTCCCATTATAGGATGAGTTCTGTGAAAGCAGGTTACCAGGTCTGCTCATACTAAACACTCTACCCCAAGTCACGGCATAGACCTTGGACACAGTGGCCACTCATAAACATTGTTGAGTGAGGAATAAAATCAAGAACTGTATTGGGTAAATACTCTATTTTAATAAAATGGGTAATATGTCCATTTACGATCTCAATTTATTCAGCTAATGAAGGTGCAGTGTGAAAACGCTTCATACTGGCACCTCACTAGCTCCCAGGTACAGGTTTTTCTCCTGGAGATTCTTTCCTATGGATAACAGCATAGGTTGGTAAATGGCGTCCTTAAATTTTTGAAAGATAAAAGTTTTTTTTCTAATATAAACCTTACAGAACTTAAGTACCAACAAAATTACTTGTCTAGGACTTAAGTACAATGGTTTTCCTGTGTTTAAGTACTGAATTCTAAATATATTTTCAGGGCCATCTTATCAGGGTAGCACAACATGATCATTCACACACAGGCCAAAAGAACTGGCATGGAACTAGCCAAAGAAACAAATGAGGGTCAAATAAGGGCAAATAAACTCTTTTGGAATAATCACCACTGTACTATGGGAAGAAAGAACCAATAACAAAATCAATGGTGTCTGTACTGTGGCGGAAGACTTACCACACCCTGAGAGGATCTGAAGAGGGGTAAACAACTATTCAGTGATATACGGTAGCACGGAGGGATTCCATAGGGTCTATGTTAGATGCCAAAGTATAATCCTGCTTTAGTTAATTCCTCACATTAACCAAGGCATGGATGAAATGGGTCAACTCCTCCACGCAGCAACACCTACTGCAAGTTCTTCTTAGTCCTCTAGTTGGGAGGGGGGGACGTTTTCTTTTTTTTACTTTAAATGTATTCACAAATTACTTGAAATTTTGGACCTTGCCTCAAATACTTCCCAAGATTACAAGGAAAGAAAGGAAGAAATCTACAAAGGTAAAAGCAATAAATGTTTTTACCTATTTATGGCAAGGTCTGCTGGCGCCCAGAGTAAATGGCAAGAACTTTCAAGTCCATCACGCCCAGCTCTGCCGATCTCCTGGTAATATGACTCCATTTCCTTAGGAGCACCATAGTGAATGACTTTGCGAATGTCAGCTTTATTAATGCCCATTCCAAAAGCTATGGTAGCTATAACACACTGAGAATAAATAACAGCACAGTTTGACCAACATTTTTAACACAACTAAAACCTTACATTAATACCTTTTGGTAAAATAATTTCTTCATTAACTAAAGTCCCTGGCATAAAAGTGAACTTAATATAATTTCAATCAATCCTTTGTGCATTAAAAGATTATCTGCCCAATTTAGATTAAGGATTGGTGACTATAAAATGAGACTTCAGTTCACTCTATAAAAAGTTGTAAATGAAGTGGTTTTTCTGAACGCCTGTGAATACAAGACACAAAAGAGGCTCTTAAAATATTTATCATATTAAATAAAACTTATATATTATTATGAAGTTTCTGATTTCCTTACCTGATTGCAGAGTATCTTAATATTTTCTAACATTATTCTAACATGGAAGATTCTCATTAAAGATGATAAAAATGAGACATTATCTCTACATCTTTAAGAGGATAAAACTTATGGAATGCCTAACATGTATGAATGGACTGCCAAAAGATTTGAATGACTATGGAAAATTTTAGAGAAGAATTAGTGATAAATACACAGAAAACTAAACAAAACATATTAACAATAAAATAAAAAGACAAGAAAAACAACCATAATGTATAATATGGCTTAGAGATAAGAAGCATTTACAAAATAGTAACTGTATATATCCTGTCCATTGATCTAACCAAAATTATTATATAAACACAGTGGGAGGGAAGGGAATTAGAAATGCACGGACAGGCTGGGCACAATGGCTCATCCAAGCACTTTGGAAGGCCAAGGCTGGAGGAATTCTAGGAGTTCAAGATCAACCTAGGCAACAGAGCAAGATCCCATTTCTAAAGAAAAAAAAAAAACAAACTTAGCCAGACATCTCAGCACACGCCTGTAATCCCAGCTACCTGGGAAGCTGACGCAGGAATGTGAGGTTACAATGAGCTATGATCACACCCCTGTACTGTAGCCTGGGCAAGAGAAACCCTGTCTCTGTTTTAACAAAAAGATTAAAAAAAAAAAACAAACACACACAAACAGGGTGAGATAAGGGGCAGTAAGGGATGTAAAAGGAAGCTAACCTTCATCTTTTATAGAGGACAGTCAATAGATAATGTCTATAGCAAACACATAAATAAGCAAAGTATGGCAAGATAGAATGATAAACACCAGAAGAATCAGCTAAAGACTTGGGCATGGGAAGACAAGTGGGACAGCTCTAGGGCCTGATGCTTTTCATTTCAAGTACAGAAGACCTATTTGCATGTATGACTGATACAAATTAAAGCGCCATTTTTTAAAAAACGATGTACTGCAATGGACCAGGAGTATGAAAGGAAAGAAAAAGAAGGAAGGACAGAAGGAAGAGAGCAAGGGGGGGAAGGAAGACAATGCTGAACAAGTTAAATATGAGAAAAGTGAGAAGAAATAAATATAAGGATGAATATAACACTAAGTAAAGGCTTTGGTAAGACTAGGCAATTTTGCTATATTTAAGAGAATAAGCAACACAAAAATAATTCTAATTTTCATCACATTAGTTTTAGAAGACATTAACCTATGTTATAGATATGATTTTCAAAATATCACTTACAGGTGTAAATATATTTTATCAAGGTGTAACTTACAGGTGTAAAGATGTTTTGTCAAGGCAGTGCCCATGTCAGTGGGTAGGGCACCGGCCACATACACCAAGGCTGGAGGGTTCGCACACAACCCCGGCCAGCTAAAACAACAATAAAAACTGCAACAACAACAAAAAATAACCGGGTATTGTGGCGGGCACCTGTAGTCCCAGCTACTTGAGGCTGAGGCAAGAGAATCACTTGTGCCCAAGAGTTTGAGGTTGCTGCGAGCTGTGATGCCACAGCACTCTACCCAGGGCAACATAGTGAGACTCTGTCTTGGGGTAGGGGACAGATATTTTATCAAGTAATTAACTCACATTTCATCCATGAAAGGAAAGAATTCAAAGCAATTTGAAGGCAAATGAAATACAAAAGGATACAGAACTAAAAGTTTAGACTAAAATCAAGACTACAAATGCAAATCTATATCCAAATGGGATAGGAAAGAGTGAATGTCTAGAAATCTGTATATTTATGCATTCAGTAGGCACTCAATAAATACTTAATGGCAAGTAATCAATTCCAAGAGCCCCAGACAATTCTACACAGATGGTGAGATATATTTTCCTTATCTTGAGAAAGTGAGAACCATCAATACAAGTGAAGCTCCTGAATTATTTATAATGGCAAAGAAGGAGCATATTGGGCCAAATCTAAGATAAAACAGAACAGCTGATGTCAGCCTAAGGTCACGCAATCGATTTATTTTCATAATGTGGATCAAAATTTGAAACATCTTGCCACAGAAAAAGAAGCTATAGCAGCACATGATAAAAACCATGTTGGCAAGATAGAATGATAAACACCAAATATACACACATGCATACACAGGGTCCCAAAAAATGTATACATATCTTCAGAAAGGGAAAGAATTGGCTGGGCATGGAGACACACACCTTTTGGGGGAACTGAGCGGGGCGAGGGGGCAGCACAAGGCAGGTGGATTGCTGAGCTCTAGAGTTCAAGACCAGCCTGAGCAAGAGCGTCTTGACAAAAAAAAAAAAAAAATCCAGGTATTATGACAGGTGCCTCCAGTCCCAGCTATTTGGGAGGCTGAAGCAAGAGGACTGCTTGAGCCCAAGAGTTTGAGGTTGTTGTGAACTATGATACCATGGCACTCTACCCAAGGCAACAGAGTGAGACTGTTTAAAAAAAAAAAAAAAAAGAAAGACAGGAAAAAATGTATTAAAATTATATTACTAAATTTACACTGATAACACAAGATGAATACAAGTCACATTTGAGCACCTCTTATAATTGCAGAAGTCAAATGTGACTTGTGTTCATCTTTTGTTATTGGTATACATTGAGTATTACAATTTTAATAGTGTTTTCCTTTCTTAAAATATGTAAATATGAGCGGCACCTATGGCTCAAAGGAGTAGGGCGCTGTCCCCATAAGCTGTAAGTGGTGGGTTCAAACCCAGCCCCGGCCCAAAAAAAAAACTGCCAAAAAAAAAAAAAGTATATATATTTTTGGTACCCTCTGTATCCTCTTCTAGAAATTAGGTATAGTTAATGATCACTGTGAGGTTTTTTTTTAAGCCATATTTCAAAACATTAATGTTTTCATGAAGCTGTGTTTTAGCAGGATGATTAGAGGCATCCACATAGTCTCCAGTGGCAACATAACACGGACTAAGTCTGTACTCTCTCATGTCCCTGGGAGATGTTTTAGTCTAAATTAGTAATTACTAAGACATCTAGACAGAAGAAACCATTGGTCAGTTCAGGGCCTGCAGATTAACTGCCAAGGTTCTGTAGTGGCAGCTAATAAATTTTATGTGCCAATTTTCAAACCACTGAGATAACAGAATAAAAACATAAACATTCAACAATCAGGAAAACATTTCTCAAACAATTGTGACAGGCATTTCTAACTTTGTTAAGAGAAAGATTAGATGCTTTCAAGCAGATATGCATAACAGCATGACTATGCATAGTGAACTTTATAGACAGACATAGGAATACTGGCTTGGGGAGGTAATAACTAGATGTCATAGAGAGGGCTGGATAGAGAGGAAACAGATGACCTATGGACAGAAAATGCCAGAACTGAAATTAAGTTCATCTCTTGACAGAAGGGCTATTCCACAGGCTTCTATGTAGCAACAGAGTGTGGATGATCTTGACAGTGTAAAGCTGTTGATTTAAAACTACTCAATTCTCTTTCATTTAAATCCTCCCACATATTTCTGTGACATCCACTGAACCTGTCCAATCATCACTGTAATCTCAGATGTAGTTCACCGTAACATCATTCATATTCTTCCCTTCTACAATTTCTCTCCTTCAAATCAATTCTACTTAGTGCTAGCAGTCTAATTTTTCTATAGTACCATTATCTTGCTCAAAAAATCAGAGAAGCACGTCATGACGGTTTTCAAACTCTATTCTGTGTCACTCAAAAGATAATAAAAGACCTGTAAGGACTGTCTTAGAGATTTAGAGGCTCTTGGACCCTCATTTCTCACCCATCAACTTCAACCAGAATTATTATACTTTAATCTGTTTTACTATTAAATAAAATTTCATGGAAATTTAAAATTCTATAGTTAAAGTAGTCTGGAAAAACTAGAGGTATATGACATACACCAAGCTAGGGCTGCCTCTTTGCACGTTTCAAAGCTGTCTGGCCAACTAACCCATTCGAAGTTTTTCCTGAGTCTCTTATAGTTCCTCCTGCTTCTAGATCATGGCTTTGTGCCATTCCCGCTGCCCACTCTCTTTCCCCCCAGCCATTCCCAACCAATCAGAACTTCTTATGCCCAGTATACATTCTCAAATCAAAGTACCTTTGTATACCCTAGTCCTTCTTTCTGAAATTCTACAACCAATTCCTTTTCCCTCATTACTCACTGGCCTGACACACTTGACAAACTTCTATTCACATATCCAGACTTTATCCTGATTACACTGTCCTGCACGGACCACCCCTGACAGAGCTGGTGCTCCCTCCATGCCTCTGGGCACTAGGTGCAGACTGACATTCATACGAATCTGTAGCAATTTATTCACATCCTTATTTCCCACAGTACCCACTGAGTCCCTCTCTCAGAGGGACTGCTTCACGCTCAACACAAAGTATTCGATAAAGACCTGGTAAGTCAACTTTTGGGGACTATCTACTTTCACCACGGGGAACAGAGAGTAATGATGATCGACCGCGCACCTGAATTTCATCTCTCATGAACCTGTGATGAACCTCCTTCCTCACATTAATACTCATGCCTGCATGGTATGTTCCACAGGATAAACTCAGTTTCCTAAGTTCAGCTGTAACTTGTTCTGTCATTTTTCTGGAATGGCAATAGATGATAGTTGGACCTTCAAATTCCCACTCAGAACTGAAGAAAAAGAAGAACAAAAGAACAAACACATATATTATACATATGCTTCAGACCAGCTGGGTTTTATCTTATTTAATTTTTCCTTTGTAATTTCTAAATAAAAGACTAAAAGCAAAAAGCGTATCAAAAATAATGCTATATTTCAATGCATGAAAATTTAAACCATTACGGAGAATCAAATGTGGAAATGAATTGTGGTAAGCCCTAGAAATTCGATTTTGACTCAGTTTTGGTTCAAATTAAAGCTAAAGCCAGAAACAGGTTTATTCGTTTAGCTGAAACCTTTATTAAAACTTATAAACTATTGACACAAATACTTTAATACAATGCACTAGATTAACAATTAGTCTTACTTTACATGAAGTAAATAAATATGTACATAAGAATATGCATAAAATGTTACTGTTCTTATTCTCTTATAAACATGAGTTTCTATGTGTTTACTAAAAAGAGCTTTCATATAATCCTGAAAACTTGCTTTTATACAGAAAGTGGTATCTATTAGAATGTCTACTGTAGAAACTTGTGCTTATTTATTATAAGTGTTAACAATTTCTACATTCTATTTCCATGGAGCATTTGTTTAATGCCTCAAAATATTCAAAATTTATGTAAATGCATACACTTATGGTAGCAATCAATATAAAAGACTACTATTTTAGATTTAGGAAAAATTTTTCTTTTTAAATTGTAAATGCAATAAATAAATAAATTTTAAATGCATATACACTGTAATCCAATTTTAGGATTCTGTTTACAAAGATACTTCCATATCTTCTAAGTTACATATACACCATAAACTATAGTAGTAAAAAAAAATCTAAACATTCATCATTATGTACATTCATACTACGGAATATTAGGCAAATATTTTAAGAAGTAAACATTATGAAAGTTTATAAAACCTTTTTTTAATTTCCTTGTTTGTTTATTTTAAGACAGAGTTTCACACTGTCACCCAAGGCATCAGCCTAGCTCACAGCAACCTCAAACTCTCGGCCTCAAGTGAGCCATCCTCTTGCCTCAGCCGCTCAAGTAGCTGAGACTATAGGTGCCCACCACAATGCCCAGCTATTTTTCTATTTTTAGTAGAAATACTAAATACCCCGTCTCACTCTTGCTCAGGCTAGTCTTCAACTCCTGAGCTCAGGCAATCCACCTGCTTCAGCCTCTCAGAGTTTATAAAACCTTTAATAAATAAGGAGTGTGGCAAAAGCCACTGAAAACTTAACCAGAGAAAAAAGGGCAACAACTTCACTGCAAGAGACTTACTGAATGATACCCTCAACGCAATTTTTGATAGTAACCAAATGGGTCCCAATATCAAAAATGTATACAGTAAGTAACTTAATGGAGTGAGGTAAAAAGACAATCTTTTTTGTAGTATACACAAATCTTATTAAAAACACGTTTTCAATGATGCACTCTACCCAGGGTAACAGAGTGAGACTGCGCCTCAAAAATAAACAAACAAACAAGCAACCAAGCAAATGTTTTCAAAGACCAAAAAAACTGCTCATCAAAAGTTAGATATTCTCTATGTTAAGGCCCTAGTTTAAGAAAGCACAATTTATGGAAATACAGAAAAGATACTTTAAATCAGTGGTTCTCAACCTGTGGGTCACGACCCACAGGAACTGTATTAAAGGGCCGCAGCATTAGGCAGGTTGAGAACACCTGCTTTAAATGAAAGGAGAAAATAGCAGAAGAAATAGACACAGTATTTAACTATTTCCGTGTAATCGTAACAGCAACAAAATCTAGGAGTTTGTCGTTATTACGTCTACAAAGTAATAGAGAAAATAAGTCTGTATTTTAGCCAAATGCTCAAATATCAACAGTGACTATGAGGAATAGGATTGGAAGGCTAAAGTACTTGTCAGTTACATGGATCTACACTATCACACGCATCTATTGGAACCTTGATAAAAACTTATACACTACTGATATAAATACTTTGGGGAATGAGATGTACTATTTTAACAATTAGTCTTAACTTATGTAAGAAATGTAAGTGATTATTTACATAAGAGTATGCATAAAATTTGTTACAATGTTCTTATTCGTTCCTGTCATCATAAAGTCGAGTTTCTAAAAACTGTTAATTTCCTCAGAACAATTTTCCAAAGGGGGTTAAATATCCTCATTTATCTCAACCAGGCGTCCTCAAACTAAGGCCCACAGCCTGCCCAGGACATTTATCTGGCCCACCTGATGTTTTTGCCACCACTGCCTGTCCTGCTTAGCAGCTGACTCCTCCTGGGGCCAGCAGCCCAGCCCTCCAATGGTCTCAGGGACAGTGAACTGGCCCCTGGTTACAAAGTTTGAGGATCCCTGATCTAAACACTAAATTAGATAGATAAAAGAAGCTGTTATCTAATTTAAACATATATGAATACAGAAACAAAATAAGGTTAGTTTAAGAAACATGCTATCTCTATGCATTAAAAAAATGTGAATACTGATAAACAAATGGCAGAATTAAAGGAAGGGAAGAAATTGGAAATAAAAGACAATATTCCAAAGCCTTAATTACCCTCTACCTTATTATCATTAAAAGGAAAGTTTGTATTTGCCAAAAATCTATAGAAAGTATTTGGACTCTCCGTGGTTCCCTGCTGTCATAGCTCTTCTTGGAGGATTGAAAATGAGTAAAAACCTTTCTTGATCTGCTTTTAGAAAATCCAATTCATATAAAATATCAAAATCTTGGATGGTCTTGAACGTTTGACTAAGGAGTCCTTTATTCCACTGGAAAGAGTTTCAGAAACATACTCCAAGATTTGGTAATGTGTTTTCAGATAATAAACTGAAAACTGTGTCTAGAATGCAGGGAGGACACTGAGGAGGACAGAGTTCCGTAAGGAGAGATTGTAATAATCTGGGCGAAAAAGTTACCAAGACTCAGTTAGCAGAGGAAACATGAAAAACGGTGAGAAGAAAACATTTGCATACGACATAAGAGAAGGACAGAGTCAGAAAATAGGAGAACACAACGCCACAAAACAGAAAGAAGGTGGCAAACTGCTCCTGAAAAGAGGGGTCTACTACAAGGGGAAATGAGCTCGCGGCCCACGCAGAGCAGCAGCATGAAAGAGGAGCAGCAGGTCACGATCTGACGCAGAGACGCCAGCCTGAGACAACACCCTGCAAGAGGACTTTCTCCCTTGGATGAAAGGGAAGAGAAACGCAGTAAGTACTCACTTCAAAGAGACCAGGAGAGGGGCCAGAACACTCTGAATACATTCTTTATGTTCTTGTTTTATTCTCAGTATAGGACAAGGAAGCCAGGCACAAAGCCCACATACAAACTAATTCCTCAGGGTCGTCCTCAAGAATAATCAGAAGATTCCCTTAACCTAGGATAGATATCTCTTCTTTTTATTCCCCTCTTAATAGGAACACACTAATAATGCACTTTAATCTCTATTTGCCTAGATTTGTTTTATGTTTATATTGACAGGAGAAACATTATTTTAATATATTCTGACTTAAAAGCACATTTCATAACAAGAAAATTATAACCTTTTTTACTGAGCAAACAGATCGTGGAGTAAGGCTTAGAAAAGCTTCTTAGCATGGATACATATATATATATAAACGCCTTTAAACAACAGAAAAAAGTACTAGCGATAGTTTCTTCATCAGTAAAGTGAAGATAAAATGTAGCTTACTGAGCAGTTCTGAGGATTAAACTAGATCCCTTAGATAAAACACTTAAAACAGCCCCTGAACACTGATACAGGCTCCAAGATGTCTATAGGTGACCTTGTCTAAACTTCCCAAGAATGAAGTTAGTCATGTGATTAGTGAACTAGGTAAAATTCAGATGGAAGACTCATTTTATGTTTGATTATGTTAATTATTAAGCGTATATGTCTTGTTCAAAAAACAGCAGTTATAATTTATGAATTATAGATTAAAAACAAGGCACCCTATGCCTCTATAGCAGCTGCTTTGGATATGGAAAATATGAGAAAAATTAATTTCTGCCTTCAGAAAGAGATTTTCCTCAGTCACTGAATTGATCATATAATACCACATTTGACTTGAACTGTGTTATGTTAAACATACATGAGAAGGAAATAGCAAATAAAAATGTTAAGAAGAAGGAAATCATCACTCATATTCATCAACCATTTAATCCTTACCTTGTCTTTCTGACCAGAAATTGTTTCAGATCTTGAAAAATATTCCCTGTTTTGCGTAATACTTCTAAATACAGGTTTGGTCGATCAAAACTAGTACAGGTAATTTGAGGATTTCTCAGATTTAAGGCATGTATGATGTCTTCCCGGATTGAAGAACTTGCAGTAGCAGTGAGCGCGACAACTGGTACCTGAACGAAGTAAAAACGATTCTCAGAACAGGGGAGCACTCACTGTTTCCCAACATTCCCCGGCTTTCCTACAAAGAGACTGTGAAGACGACGACAGGAGTGAGGTACAGGGTCAAAAAGCAACTTTAAAATTCTTTTCTAAAAAAAGAAATAAAACTTCCTACTTATTTCTCAGCCTTCTGAATTTGCTTTTTAAAAGAAATAATTTCAGTGAAACACTAAATCCATATGGTTCCCAAATGCAATTTACCTTGTCTTACTAAACTAAGTCTACTGCTTAGCTATCTACTTCTCCACTTATTATTTTTAACATTTACTACATTTATAATATTACTGATACAAGCAGAAGACAATGTCTTATTTTTTTTTTATTTTTATAAGCCCTTCAATTCCCCCAAAATCTAACTATATAAAACGAGTCTTTTTATTTTTTGTCTCCCGTATTAAATGTATTGCTTTAGGTTTCACAAATCTAGAAGCTAAGCTCCCAATGACCTGGACAACCTCACTCTAGTTTTACTAAATTAATCAATGGCATACTATATGTTAAGAAATACTATATATGAGGCTCGGTGCCTGTGGCTCAAGTGGCTAAGGCGCCAGCCACATACACCTAAGGTGGCGGGTTCGAATCCCCAGCCCAGGCCCGCCAAACAACAATGACGGCTGCAACCAAAAAATAGCCAGGCGTTGTGGCGGGCGCCTGTAGTCCCAGCTACTTGGGAGGCTGAGGCAAGAGAATCACTTAAGCCCAAGGGGGACAGCTTGAGGCTCTATCTCGAATAAAAGAAATACTATATATGAAACATGTATTATTGATTCCTTAAACAACCAAGTAATTTTCTATTTTCAGTCTAGTAAAAACTTCTTGACTGGATTAAGGAGACAGACAAAGCAGGAGGCACACTGGGTATCAGGAAAAACATGAATATGTCATCTTTCAAAAATTCTAAGGTAGGATAACAACATACCTCTCATAAAAACAGGCCTATTACTTTTCTTCCTATTATAATAGAAAGTTATATTCCACTATGCTATTATTTCATAATCAGAAAAAATAGACTTTCTTAAAGTTGTTTCTAAGTCATTAGCTGTTCCAACACCAAGAATAAAACTTTCTTTAAAAATACTCTTTTTTGGCCCATTACAGATACCAGAAAAAAATATCCTTACAAATAGCTCTTTGGATACGCTGCATCTACCTCACAAACCAGCTTAAATACTTATCTTGTAAGTAAATAAAAACATATGTGCAATTTGCCAATTTGAAAGAAGCCAATTATTTAGACTGTCTCAAAATTAAAATAAGATATAATTTACCAAGAATTATTATCCACTCTCACAATCAATATAGCTTTACTGAATTAAAAATCATCTCAGAACTCACGTAAAAACAATCAAGATTGAAGGTAATTGTTGAAAAAAATTAAATCAAAACCAAATCAACCAGATAATTTTTACATTCTCATTTTTACATTCTTTACCCTTAAATTTTATAAAATTATTTTAAAAGGTAAAATTCATTGATCTTTGGTTTATAATCAGTTATCCGAATTTAGAGTGCTTGCCTGACAACTTAAGAGCCGGTTTATAAAGAGGTTAGTTTCTCTAATCAAGTTCTAACACAGATGTGTTAACATAAAAGTATTAATAAATATAAGCTGAAAATAAGGGAAGTTTAAAATTGGAAGTTCACAGGACTTTATGTACATTGTCAACCTCACAAAAAAGTATTTTCCCCAATTTAAGTGTTTTAATCAAACACTTTATAAATATACTAATAAAATATTTCACTGCATTTACAGACAAATACAGAAGTTTTCAGGGTTCTTGCACATGTGAAAAGACGGTTAGGCATGTTTTAAGCAATATAATGTATAAGTGGATAGGCAATGCATTTATAAAAATAAAGACATGAGCTGAGAAAACAGGAGTATCTCCAATGCGTTAACAGAAAAATGAAGCCAAAGAACAGCACTGTGGTGAAAAAAATCTGCCTTGGAATCAGACTGCTTGACCTCAAATCCTGCCTTTGCCACTTCCTAGACGTGAGACTTGGGGCTCTGTATTGAACTCTCTAAACTTTTACTCATCCATAAAATGGCTACAATAACTGCACCAATCTCATAAAGCTGTTATGAGGATAAACATGTAAACTGCACAATGTCTGGCACATAGTAAGCATTCAAAAAGTTTCAACTATTACTAATATTGTTATTGCAACAAAAGAATTCTACACAAAAACTCCAGAGACATCGGAACTACTCCTAGCTTTGCTGCTAACTTTGCAAGGGCTCATCTGTTCCACAAAAACTGAGATGGAGAGGGCTATGTGATCTAGTAGACCCACCAACATAAAACTTCCCATTTTGCTACTAGCAACTTGTTATACCATAACCCGCTAGTAATGAAAATCACTTTAAAATCACTCTTTGCCTCAACATTCTACAATAGTTCAGAATATTGCTTCTACAATTAGAAAACAGAATAAAGTAACAGAATATATCCAAATTAAAGAAACAAATTTTAACTTAAGCAATAAACAGAATCTTTTCTCTTAGAAGTCTGTGGCATTATGACATTTAAAATTCCTAAGATTTATAAAGCTTAAAAATAACATGCAGGCAGATTATGAGAAGGGTAACTGCACGTCCTCATTAGCTGAGATGCTTCCAGTTCATACTTGAGGTCACAGCATAATTATTGACAGCCTAAACCATTTAATTTTCAGAAGCAAACTGCTTTGAATGATAAATTATACCGCCGCCTAATTATATCAAGTCCTTAACTCACAAAAGTTATTTTCTAAGTTGGCAGGTCACAGGTACCCAGTTTAATTAAAACAAACAACCAAATGTAAATTAATCTGATAACTATAAACATCGGAAGATCTTAGTCCCATACTTGAACGGTGTAGCACCCACAGTTGAAAGATCTGTAACTATTCCACCTTATCTAAACGCAGGTCATGTTGGTAGTTCTCACTCTGCAATCCCTAACATCACACACACGTCCTTCATTCATTCACGCATTCCAAACAGTCATTGAGTGTCTACTATGGAATAAACTTTGGGACAGGTACTGGGGGAAAAGTAATGGAAAGAAACAACATGTCTCATGGACTTCACAATTCCTCTTATCAGAATTTTATAGACTTTTAGGAACAATGTAGAGCTTTCCGTCTGGCTGCTTTCTCAAGACTCACTTTGTCTGATTCCCTCCAAATCTTTGTTCTAAATGGCTCAGTGATCTCTTCGCTATTTTTGAAACTACTAAAATAACATACTGTGAAACATTCCAGGTTTACACCAGTGGTCCTAGTGTAGTTGGAATTAGGAGACAAAAAGCACCAGGAACCGTGGGAATAATGACAACACTTCAACCACCAGGGGGCATTTCTCATCACTGAGCTAATAAAAGAAGATGCTTGAAAATACCAGGGAAAAAGGCCTCGGCCACCGCTTGACAAACACCTGCCATGGAGGCTCGACAGAAGGAATATGCTCTACTAATCACAGTAAGAATGAAATGATCAAATGACTCCATAGCCAGACATAATAGAGGATTTCACTCGACCCAGAAAGTATTTAAGAACAGTATAAAACAGTTTAAAGTCCTTTAGCAAAATCCTTCTAGAATCAAAGGCCTAGGAAAGGATTACAGAAAGCAATCTTCCTAGTTTCTAAAAGCTTACTTTAAACTATTCTAAATTAATGGAAATTGGTCTTCTAGGGGCACTGTACCCAGTAACTTTCCCCATAGAAATCCCTTGGACTGCTAGTATATGTACAAATAATCTTTCCATATTATTTGTACCACACCATATACCATGTATTGTTTGGTACTCTTTCTTCTACTTTTATAGGTATAAATCTAAATCCTTCCATTGGACTATGAGCTATTTGAGGGTAGAAACTATGTTTTATACCTCTTTCAAATCATTTGCTTCAGAAACTAGCACAAGTAACTATTTATTACCCAACTCTACCACTCACTACCTGTGTGGCAAAATATTCTCAGCTTTCTCATCAGAATTCATTCACTCATTCACCCAACAATTCATCAAGTACCCGCTATGAATGAGGTACCATAAACCAAACAATCAAAAATCCCTCTCACAAAGAATATTCTAGTGAGGATTCACAGATCGACAAAATATAATTAAATAGTGATAGTGCTATAAAAAAAATAGCAAAAGTATATGAGGAATGCTGAATGTTGGGAAGAGGAGATAAATTTGATGTTTCAAATATGGTAGCCCAGGAGGCCTAACTGAGAAAGCAAAGACCTGAGAGAACTGCGGGAGGACACAAGATAAATAACCTGGTGAGATGCACTCAGGGAAAGCCCGGACACTGGAGCATGTGTTGAATGTCTGAAGAATATCAACGGGGGGCAGTGTGTCTAGAACCCAGTGAAAGAGCAGGACACGGTCAAAGACACAACAGAAGACGGTTATCACATAAGGTTTGGTAAGACAGTGTAAGGCCTTTTGCCTCTTTCCAGAGTGAATGGCACACTAACAGAGGGACTCGCAAAAGTACTGCTCTCGATGCTGTGTTGAAACAGACTAAAGGAGAGAAAGAATGAGAGCAAGAGGTATCGTAATAGGAAAGGAGATGGTGTGAACCAGGGAAAGGTAGGAATCAAGAGATAAGTGACTAGATTCTGAATATACTGTGAAGACTTCATGAAACTTCCTTGCTGTTTAAATGGATGATGTAGCATAAGAGAAAGAGAAGAAGGTAATTTTAAGCTTTTGGCCAATGGAATTGCCATTACACAAAATGGGAGCAGATCTGGGGTGGAGAGATTATCCAGAAATCTAGGATATCTGTTAGGCCTCTAAGTAGAGAAGTGCTGAGTAGGCAATCATTATAGAGCAGAATCTATGAAAGTTGACCATCCAAGGGGCTGTAACAAACTGGTCAACATAAGGAACTAGGCTACCGTACTGATATACACAAGTGATACATGTCCCATCATGAAAATTAGGTCAATCTAAGGAGGTGGTCAGTATAGCTAGACGGTCAACTATGGAGGTTCTACTGTGTAAGTGTATGTGTGTGTACACACACACAGAGATATATACTTCTTTATATATATGTGTGTATATATATACACACACACACATTCTATAAAATGGTTGAAACAAAAAGTAGTGGAAACACCAAATGCTAGCAGAGAAGCAGAAAAACTGGATCACTCACGTATTGCTGGCATCAGCCAAGCTGGAGACAAAAATTTAGGAAAGTCTCAGTATATAGATGGTATTTGAAACTCTATGTTGGTTGAAACGACCCAGGAAGGAAGTACAGAGGAAAGAGAATAGATCCAAGGACTAAAATTTTAGGTGTGCCAACATTAAAAGGGCAAGGAAAAAAGAAACAGAGGAGGCTGAGAATAAAGGTGAAGAGCTGTTTCAAGGAAAAGCAACATGAAAATATTAACAGCTACTTCTTTGCTCCAACATTTAAAAAAAATCAAACACAAGACCAGTCCCATAGCCAGAGCTCAATTCACAGGATAGACTGAGGCAAAGAGAATCACTTAAGCTCAAGAGTTTTAGGTTGCTGTGAGCTGTGACAGCACCGCACTCTACTGAGGGCAACATAGTGAGACTCTGTCTCACAAAAAAGTTACTCCAGTTAAATCAGGCATTTCATCAAGGAGGCAAATTAGCATATGAAAAGATGTTCACATCATTAGCCATTAGAGAAATGTACATTATAAACACAAGATACCACTTGACACCTACCAAAATGGCTGAAAATAACACCGGCAACAACCAACAGTGGCAAGGATGAGAGGAAACTAGAACAGTCGCACGTTCCTGGTGAGAACACATCCTAAAATAGTACAGCCGCTCTGGAAACCACTCTGCAGTTCCTTAAAGCTAACCATGCCCTGACCACAGAACCAAGCAACTACCTTCCCAGAGAAAGGAAAATTACATTTACAGTTGTTCAACATGTATCTACTGAAAGACCTTCCAATGGCACACAAATTTTCATATCATCTTTATCCGTAATAGCCCAAAACTAACGTCTCCAATTGGTGAATGCTTAAACAGTATTCCATACCACGGAATACTATACAGAGATAAAAAGGGGGAAACTTTTGAAATAACGTCATCACTTAATATTTCAGTCAACAACAACTAACAGTAGTCCCAAAAGAATATAATAGAGGTGAAAAGTGTCTACTGTCTGATGATGCTTTTAACTTTACACCTCTGTGGGGATGTACACAAACCTACTGTGCCTCCAGATGCCAGTCATATAAAAGTATGGCACATAAAATTACATGCAGTACATAATACTTGACAATGATGATAAACGACTATGTTACAGGAGTATGTATTTACTACACTGTACCTTTTTATCATTATTTCAGTGTATTCTTTCTACTTATTTTTTTTTTAGTTAGCCAGGCAAGGTGGCTGACACCTGTAATCATAACACTTTGAGAGGCCAAGGCAAGAGGACCATACGTTCCTAGTGAGGACCATGTGAAGCCAGGAGTTCAAGTCCAGCCTGGGTAAGAGTGAGACTTTGTCTCTACAAGAAAATTAAAACTAAGCCAAGTGTGGTGGCACACCTACAGCCCCAGCTACCTGGGAGGCTAAAGCACGATGATGGTATTGTACTCCAGCCTGCGCAACACAATGTCTCAAAAACAACAACAAAAAGAAAATGTTAACTATAAAACAGCTTCAGGCAGGTCCTTCAGGAGGCATTCAGAAGAAGGCACTGCTACTGTAGGAGGTGCACCCCATGCACACTGCTGCCCCTGGAGACCTCATCAGACAAGGTGTGGAGGTGGAGGACAGTGATAGTGATATTGGTAATCCTGACCCTAGGCTAATGTGTGTTTCTGTCTCAGTTTTTAACAAAAAGTTCAAAAAAATAAAAAAATTAGAAAAAGGCTTATAGAGTAAAAATATAAAGAAAGTTTTTTTTTTTCCCTTCAGTTTTTGGCCAGGGCTAGATTTGAACCCACCACCTCCAGCATATGGGGCCAGTGCCCTACTCCTTTGAGCCACAGGCACCACCCATAAAGAAAGTATTTTTATATAGCTATACAATGTGTTTGTGTTTTAAGCTATCATTACAAAAGAGTCAACATTTTTTTTAAGTTTATAAAGTAGGCTCGGCACCCATAGCTCAGTGAGTAGGGTACCAGCCACATACAGAGGCTGTGGGTTCGAGCCAGCCCAGGCTTACTAAATGATAACTGCAACCAAAAAATAGCCAGGCGTTGTGGCAGGCACCTATAGTCCCAGCTACTTGGGAGGCTTAGGCAAGAGAATCGCTTGAGCCCAAGAGTTTGAGGTTGCTGTGAGCTGTGATGCCACAGCACTCTACCCAGGGTGACACAGTGAGACTGTCTCAAAAAATATATATATATTTATAAAGTAAAACAATAAGCTATGGTTAATTTATTATTGAAGAAAATTATTTTTATAAATTCAGTATAGCCTAAGTGTATAGCATTTATTAAATCTACAGCAGCACACAGTAGGCCTTCACACTCAGTGACTACTTGCTCACTGACACACCCAAAGCGACTTCCAGTGCTGCAAAGCCCATTCATGGTACGTATCCGATACAGGTGTACCTTTTGTTATCTTTCATACTGTAAATGCCTCTATGAACAAATTTCAATGAATTTTGAAAATTCATTGAATTTTGTATATTTTTTATATATACCTTTTTATAATCCTCTCCCTGAACTACTTGACCTTTTGAGTTGTTTCCGAGAAATGGTGAATTTCCTGCAACACAAAGCCCTGGGCAGCCTTCCTCACAAGATTCACCACATGCCACCACCAGGCAAGACTTCTTCCTGTTGCATTAAAAAATTCCTTTCTTCCTTGGCAACCCTCATTGTCTCAATAATTGGATCTCTGTACAATGAGCAATTGGACCTACGTTGAAATTCCCATGCAGTTTTGACAAAAATACCGTATTTTTACTGTACCTTTTCTATGTTTGGATATACAAATACTGTCACCGTGTTACAGCTGTCGACCATAATCAATATACAAACATACTAAACACCTAGAAACAACAGGTGGGATGTTCAACCTTTTTTTCCTCTGCCAAACACTGTAAGAGTAAGAGTTGTCTTGGGTCACACGTTAAATACACCAACACTAACAAAAGCTGATTTTAAAAAGATCCATGCATACTTTTCAAGGTATGTGACACCACAGATGAGCAAAAATAGTCTTCATAAAATCAGAATGCATCTCCACCAGCAGCGGGTTGAACACCCCTGGGCTGTATCATCTAGGTTTTGTAAGTACACTCTACAACCTTCACACAAAGACTCAGTCACCCAATAACACCCTGCTCAGAATGTATCCCCTTGTTAAGCAACACATGAATGTACACATCTACTTGGATAGAGCTCTCAAGGGAATTATGCTGAGTGAAAATATTAATTCCAAGAAGTGACACACTATATGATTCTATTTACATAACATTCTTGAACTTATAAAACTGCAGAGATGGAGACCAGGTCAGTGGTGCCAGGGGGTTGGGGGTGGGGAAGAAAGTGGCTGTGGCTGTAAAAGGATAGCTCCATGGAGCCTTGTACAGTTTGGTATCTTGATTGCAGTGGTAGTTACATAACAGAGATATGATTTTATAGAACAACACACACACATACAAATGAGTGCCTATAAAACTGGCGAAATGAGAATAAACTCTGGATGTTTTACAAACGTCCTATGTCTAGTTTTGATATTGTACCACGGTCATGCAAGATGTTACCATTTGGGAAACTGGGTGAATGGTACGCAAGACAACTCTGCATGTGTTTTACAACTTCCTATGAACCTATAATTTTCAAAATAGAAAATAAAAGTGCTAATAGTGTGAGTTTTCAAGCCATTCATGTTCAGTATGCCATTCATGCAAAAATTTGCTACTCTTCACAATTAAGAAAGTGGAATTCTAAAATAATACTAAAAGCTTTAATAAATCCCCCTTTAAAATGGTTCAACTTTTAGGTTTTTAATTATGATGCCAAAAGGGTAATCATGGTTTCAGACCATCCTAGAGCAAAAGGACATACAGATAAAAAATCACTGAAAAGGCACCGGAGTCTTCCCAGGGCTTTTAAGCAGCAGGGTGCATACTATGGCCCACAGCTCATTTGTGATTGCCCAAAAGCAAAGAATGTAACCTTAACATTTTTAAATGGTTGTTAACAAAAGTATCAGGGAGAAATATGTGGTAAGAGACTATATGTGCCTTTTCCTTTTCAGGAAAAGTTTTTCAAGCTCAATAGTATTCCTCAATAAATCATATGCCAACCTTAGAATTTTTTAAAAAGTCTTTCCTTGCTTACATCACCATTTTCCCTGTCATAGAAATGTGTCCAGCTTGTTGGCAACTCCTCAATCTGGAAGGGTCCCTTCAGGTTAAGAGTGTCATTTTTAGACTTTGCGAAGCTTACCGATGGGAAGGTCGTCTTCAGGGAGCCCAGGTTCCTAAATGAACTTCTGAAATCATGTCCCCACTCAGAGATACAGTGGGCCTCATCCACAGCGATAAGTGTAATACCTATAAAAAAGAAACACACACAAATGGAAAAACAGAGCTAAACAAAATAAACTCACCTAAATCAGTATTAATTTCTTCACTTACAATACATAAACATTACCAAAAGAATAAATAATCCAAATCAAATTAACTGGTTCATATAAAAATAAAGGCATATATAACATCAGATAACACCAAAAATTATCATTAGAAATAGGGAGAGGGGAGCTATATGAATAAAAAGCATAAAAATTAAAAACAAAGAGGAAGTATATATTAATCCAAATAATATATTTATTGGATTTCAACTTTTATCATTATTCCTCAGCAAGACAAAGTGCTTATTATGATGTTGTCCCAAAAACTATCGCTCATGAACCACCTGCAATAATAACTCCTTTGAAGAAAGAACTGCTCCATTTCTCTTTGGTAATGCTGTCAATTTTATCTCATGGATTAGGTGTGTCAGTACATTTTACTGAGATTTGATGCATCACCATCCACGACTGATCACACATAGCACAGAGTCGTTCTGCAACACCAGTATCAGAAGACAGGATGACACCCACATTTTCTCGTGTAAAATGGTATAGGAAGAACTAAATCTCATTATGTACAAAGTAGGTTAAGAAGAGATAACTTGTCCTTTTTTCCCCTTACTTGCCTCCACACTATACACATCCACTGAAATAGAATTAATATTGTATAGTAAAGTATTCAGAAAATGTACAACCACCCATTAAAATGTCTTCAGCCATTCAAAAGTAGTAACAGTAGTGCTTTTGCCCTCAATTACCAAATTAATACTGAAGATTAAGAATAATTTTTTTCCCTCATAGGTATAATCATTACTTGATACTTCTCTGAGTATTAATAATATTCTGATGGCAGGAGGGTAATTAAAAACCTATGCTCTAGGGCGGCGCCTATGGCTCAAAGGAGTAGGGCAGCAGCCCCATATTCCAGAGGTGCAGGGTTCAAACCCAGCCCTGGCCAAAAAAAAAAAAAAACCTGTGCTCTGGAGTCGGAATTCCTGGATGAAGAACCTGGCTTGACAGTTTAGCATGTGTATTACTTCACACTTTCCATGCGCTCAGCTTCCTCACAACTAAAATGTGGATAATAACAGCACCTAGCATTTTTAGTTATTCTAAAAATTAAATTAGGTCATTCACATATAATGCAAAGGTAGAGCCTGGCACAAAAAAAGAGCTCAAAAAAAGAAAACGCTACTATTATTATTATTATGGTTATTAAGTGTCTATTATGATCCAAATGCTTTTCCAGGAATAAAAAGATTAATAAAATATATGACCTGTGGCATTTACAATTCTGAAGGAGGAGACTGACGTTGAAATAAACAATGACAATTCATTGAGTTACAAACTGTGATCATCCTGAGAGAGCATGGAAGAGAAAGAAACCTGCTAACTGTGAGTGGAGTAGGTTACTAGCACCAAACTTCTCTGGTTACCACTGAGTGGCTAGGAAAAGTTCAGTATTACCACTGTACTTACTTTGGCTTTAGAAACTAAATCGCTCTGATTTTAAATTAAATAGATTAAAACAAAGATAACAATCTCTTTTCTTTTAAAATAAAATTACTTACAGGGCGGCGCCTGTGGCTCAGTGGGTGGGGTGCTGGCCCCATATACCAAGGTGCCAGGTTTGAACCCGGCCCCGGCCAAACCACAACAAAAAAATATCCGGGTGTTGTGTGTGCATCTGTAGTCCCAGCTACTCAGGAGGTTAAGACAAGAGAATTGCCTAACCCCAGGAGTTGGAGATTGCTGTGAGCTGTGACACCACCGCACTCTACCAAGGGAGATAAAGTGAGACTCTGTCTCTCAAAACAAAAAACCCTAACTTACAGGTTTGACAAAATAGCTCTTAATGGGGCTGAACTCTGTCCCTTCAAAACAGTCGAGACAAGCTTTACCAATATTCACTTTGACTACACAAGTGTCTTCTGAGCACCAACATATATTTCATTTTGGCTTATCTGTCTTTCAAGTCTTACTTCCAAAGTTAAAAGACAATTACAAGTTTAGCCCGTAAAGAATCTCCATATAGTATGTTTGCTGTTTCTGTTAAAAATCCAGACTACATTAATAATTTAACATTTACCTAAAAATAACAAATCTGGTTAAATGTCACACTACTGTACCAAGAACATCCTCAGTGTACTCCTTTTTACAAGCAATTTATAATTTCTCCAACAAAAGCCAAAGGAAAATATTTCAAAAATAATTTTTATTTAATGTATCCCTTTTTAATCAATCAAGCATTTTCATCCATCCATTCATTTTCATCCATTAGGCCAGCAAAGTACTCTGCCCTAATGATTGCAGGGCTCATAATTAATCTACTTAATCCATAATTAATCCAAAAATAAAAATAGAAAATTGTCAATAGCTATCAAAAGTATTTAGTTACTAATTATACTGATTATTCATTTAACACCATCACAAAAACAAAGGAAATACTGAAATGAAATAAAATATAGCCCACTACTATAGACATAGCCCCTTAGCCTTTCTAACAAAACCATGAAATTTACATACAGGGTAGTTGCGCTGACTCCAAAGGGAAACAGTCATAAGAACTTCATGTACCCTAGTAGAAAATATATTAAATTCATCATCCATTAAAGGTAAAAATATAATACACCAAAATGGGAGTTTGGTGGCTGATGAATGCACTTCTTATCAGGGTATTAAATCAAATGCTTTTAATCAAATGCATGTATTTAATCAAACGTTAAAACTTCTGTTGGATTTAACACATACTAGAAGATACAAACTTGTTTTCATTATATTGTTAGAAAAATCATTAAATACTTAACTGAAGTTATGTGTAAGTAACCACTAATGAAATGTTGCAATTTGAATAGTTAACCTATCTGGATTATTTTAATATAATTACACAAATAAATTACACATTTTCAGAAAACTAACTTTAGTTAATTCAACTGACGGTCTCAAGTATATACATTTGAAACAGAAGCCACAACTGCACCTCTTTGATAACCAGGCCTAACCACCAAGAAGAAAGCAACAAATAAAATTTTTTTAAGTACCAAAAAAAAAAAAAATGACATCAGCTTTTGACTAATTCTATGCTTTCTCGGAAATAAGCTATGGTTTCCTTTTGTTGAAACCTCAGCAAGTTTTTGGTTTTGTTTTTTATAATCAGTCACACTCACTGGTGGCAACTTGTCAAGGGTACTGTGGTTTTCAATCCTGGCCACCCATCAGAATCACCTGTGGAAAACTAGTAATGCCAGGTGCCACCCCAGCCTGGTAAGTCACAACAGTCAAGGTGGGAGGGTAGTTACCTACATTTTCTCAAGTTTGAAAGGTGATTCTTATAAACAAGGGTAGAAAGCCACTTCTACCCTGGATTATGAATCAGAATATGAAAAAAGGTAAATTTCAGAGAGTCTTGGATTCAACACTCATTCGGCAATACATTTAAGTGCCTAAATATACATGTCAAGCACCACACTAGGAAAATATAAATAAGAATGATATTTTTCCCTTGAAAAGTTACAGCCTACTAGAAGAAACTAGATATGTAAACAGCAATTAAACATGTAATACCAGAGCCTGGTTACTATGGCAAAAGCAGTTACAGGAGACTGGGGGGTAAAGCAGAAGAAACACAAGTTAGAGCGTCACAGATTTCCTGGAGGAGATAATGGAAATAAATGTTAACAGAAATTAATCCTGTCTGCACCCACAGTTTTAACTCTAAAAAAAAAAAAAAAATCAATTCATTAAGTATTTACAAAGATCCTCCTTTGCCACTTACCAATATTAGCTTCAAGTTGCTGAAGTAGGTCCAAGTTACCTGAACAGAATTCTGGAGTCATATACACAATCTGATACTTGCCACTGTACAAATCAACAAAAGGGAAGAAACATGCTAACTATAAAGAAAACAGTCACTTCAAATGAATTACAACTTAAATCAAAATACTTGATAAATGCTTAAATAATACATTACACTACTTTTGAAAAACCAAATGAACATTCATATATATTATTTTTTTCATTTCTCTTCAATGCATCAAATAAAAAGTAACAGTACCTGTCGGGGAGTTATTTAGCTCTGAGGTTACATTAGAAGCCAGGTTCTGATTTCTAACAATCTAGTCCCCTTCATGTGCTTCAATTAAATGATCAAGCCTGTAATAAACTTTTCATACCACCCACATACCACCCTCTAACTATACCCCCCTACTCCCTCACAATTAAACTCTTAGCATTCATACACATATTCTGATCTCTTGCCTAAAACTTATTGGGCCAAGTGTCAAAGCCATGCCAAATAATCTCTGTTCTAAAGTCTGGAGGTCTGATCAAGAATCAGCCAGGAGGCCTCTGCAAGCGGAAGGACCTGTAACATGTTCAAATGGGGAGGAAAAGGAGTTGCAAGGCAGCCATCTTCTATTTTATGACTCAAAAGGCAGAGAATGATTATCTCTTCAGAGGAAAATGAAGAAGACACATAGAGGAGATACATCAAAGGAAAACCCTACTGTATTTTTTTTCTTTTTTGTGACAGTCTCACTTTTATTGCCCTTGATAGAGTGATGTGGCATCATAGCTCACAGCAACCTCAAACTCAAGCAATCTTCTTGCCTCAGTCTCCCAAAAGCTGGGACTACAGGCACCCATCACAATGCCCAGCTAGTTTTTAAAGACGGGGTCTCTCTCTTGCTCAGGCTTGCCTGGAACTCCTGAGCTCAAGCAATCCACAGGCCTTGGCCTCCCAGAGTGCTAGGATTAGGGGTGTGAGCCACCACACCCAGCCTCCTACTGTATTTTCCACACCCAATTCCGGTCTCTTCCTTAAAGGCTGGCTACCTTTTCAGTGGGATCCATGAGACATTCCTTTATCCTTAATATAAAATTCAATATTCACCTAGCTAGTTTAAGTAAATTTCTATTCTGGACAGAAAAGAATCCTAATTGAGACAATGTTCGTAAGAAAGGCTAGATCTAGGGAAAAAATATTATGAGTCTATTATCCATTCTACCAAATAAAGACCTAGATCAAGTTAAATGAAATGAAACATCACTTTCAATATGAAAAAACTTTATAACAGTCTATTCATTCAACAAATATTTAAGCATCCATAGTACGCTAGGCATTGTGCTTTCACTAGGAATCAGTCACCAACAAAATAGGTGTGTCATGAAATTAGTGTTCTAATTAACATAGATAACAGTGTAAGTAATAAGCTCGGATACCAACTGTCCAGGTTTGACTCTCAGTTCTACTTCTTATAAGGCAAGTGATCGTAAGCAAGTTACTTAACTTTAGTGTACCCCATTTTCTTTGGTATAAAACAGTGACAGTGATTATCAAAATAGCTAATCCTTTAGTTATCTAGACTCAAGGTAAACCCAATCAAAATCCCAGTAGGCATTTTAGTTGAAAAAGTGATGCTGAAATACTTACACAAATACAATAAACCTAGACTAGCTAAAATAACTTTGAAAGGAAAGAATGAAATTAGAGGAACTGAACTGTCTGATTTGAAGTTTATTATAAAGCTACAGTAATCAAGATGGTCAAGGCAGACAAAGAGACTGACAGAAGAGCAGATTTAGAGCGTAGCAATAGACCCACACACGTGTAGTCAATTTATTTTTGACAACAGTACAAAGGAAATTCAATGTAAATGGACAGTCTTTTTGCCCAGTGGAACTGGACCAATCAGATATTCATATGTGAAAAATACATAAATAAACTGTAAAAAATACATAAACAAACAATACATATGCAAAAATCTACTAAAAATGGATAATAAATCTAAGTGTAAAACTTAAAACTGTACAACTTTTAGGAGAAGACATAAAAGAAAATCTTTGGGAGGCACAGATGTCTTAGCTGAAATACCAAAAGCAAAATACATTAAAAAAACAAATTGAGAAACTGAAGTTCATCAAAATGAAAAACTGCTGCTCTTCAAAAGAACTGTGAAGAGAATGAAAAGTCATAAACTAGGAAAAAATGTTTGCAAAGCACATATCAAATAAAGGATCTGAATATAGAAAGGTCCTATCAAAGCTCAATAAGAAAATAAAAAACAAAGAATGGGCAAAAGATTTGAATAAACACTTCCTCAAAGGAGATAAGATGGCCAAAAAGTATATGAAAAGATGTTCAATATAATTAGTCATTATGGAAAAACAAATTAAAAATAAGATGAGGCCCGGCCCAGTGGGTCACACCTATAATCCTAGCATTCTGAGAGGCTGAGGGGGTGGATTGCTGGATCTCAGTTCAAGACCAGCCTGAGCCAGAGTGAGACCCCATCTCCACTAAATTAGAAAAATTAGCCAGGCATGGTGGCAAGTGCCTATAATACCAGCTACATGGGAAGCTGAGGCATGAGGATCGCTTGAGCCTAAGAGTCTGAGGTTGCTATGAGCACAGCACTCTATCCAGGGCAACAGAGTAAGACTGTCTCAAAAAAGTAAAAAAAAAAGAAAAAAAACCACAGTGAGATTCTATTAGAACGGATAAAATTAAATATTGGCCATACTAAGTGATAAAAGGGATGTGGAACAAATGGACTTCTCATACACTGCTGGGGGGAATGTAAGTACAACTACTCTCAAAAAGTTTGACAGTTCCTTAAAAAGAGTATTACCATATCCCCTAGCAATTCCACTTCCAGGCATATGTACAAGAACACAAATAACATGTTCATAACAAAATGTGTACACAAATGTTCATGGCACCATTATTCATTAATAACTAAAAAGTGGGAGTAACCCAAATGCCCATCACTGATGGGTAGATAAACAAAATGCGACACGCCCATACAAGGGAACACTACTCAGCCATAAAAAGTAGTGCTGATGACATTATCCTAAGTGGGAGAAGCCAGACACAGAAGCCTACATGCCATATAAATTCATCTACAGAAAAATCCAGAATAGGCGAGTCAGAGACAGAAAGCAGATTAGTGGTTGAAAAGGGGTAGAAAGGGGTCAGTACGAGAGTTCTCTCGGGAGTAATGAAAATGTTCTGAAATTAGAACATGCATATATACGTGTCTATGTCCACATACAGTAGAATGTCTAGGAGGTGACCACCCACGGAACTGTAACAAACTGGTCACTATATGGAAGTGGTCAACATAAAAAACTAGGCCTACTGTACTGATATGTACATGTGGTGCATGTCCAGCCTTTGGCAATTAGGTCAACTTAAGGAGGCGGTCAGTGTACAGAGGGGCTCACCTATGGAGGTTCTACTGTATATTAATATACAAACACACATTTTTTTGTGTATCTGAGATGACATTCTTTTTAACAATCACATCATGACAGAATCAGTAAGGCCAGAGACCTAGAATCCAATCCCTGCTCAGCCACAAATTCATGGAGTGACGCTGGGCAAATTACTTGTCCTGGGCCTCAGTTTTCTCACCTGTAAAATGAGACAAACCTAGATATTCTCCAAGTTCCCTTCCAAAACCAAAATTTTGTAAATCCATGGCTATAACGCTAAGCTTATAGCCTGAAAACTGAGAAGATTTAATAAATTCCTTTAACCTTGAAAGATTAAAAAATTAATAGTTCTGAAAATGTACTATAAAAAGAAAGCATATTTTTAAATCATAGACATTTTATTCATGCATTAAATAAAATTTTTGTGTACAAAATTCTCTCATGTACTACAGACACGTGACCATATGAAAACACATCATCAATTACTTACGATTTAACATCATTTAGAACGTTTTCTGACTGTGCTGATCCAAGGAAACAAGCTGGAATGTTGGACATTCTATAAGAGAAAAACAAACACTCTGAAGCCATGTACACACTACAAATATCAACTTTATTTGTGAAAATAAAGAAATGTAATAATGTGCATTCCTCTTCTTTGCAATTTTCCTTTTTATAACTCACTAACTTGACGAACAAATGCCTTCAAATATCAGGTTTTATCTTGTTTTGCATTTTTTCTTTTGGAGAAAGAGCCTCACTCTGTAACCCTAGGTAGAGCTCCATGGTGTCATCAAAGCTCATTACCAACCTCAAAATCTTGGGCTCAATCAATCCTCTTGCCTCAGCCTCCCAAGTAGCTGGGACTAGAGGGTCCCACCATGATGCCCAGCTAGTTTTTCTATTTTTAGTAGAGACAGGGTCTCGCTCTTCCTCAGGCTTGATGTCAAACTCCTGAGCGCCTGCAATCCACTCGCCTCAGCCTCCCACAGTGCTGGGATTATAAGCATGAGCCACCATACCTGGGCTATATCAGAAGGTTTTTAAGGTGGGTCTCAGGGCAGCGGAGGTTTGAGGAGTAAAGAGAGATTGGTTAATGGATATAAACATATAGTTGGGAGAAATAAGTTCTGGTGTTTGATAGCACAGTACGATAATAGCAATTAATCAACATATGTTGCATATTTCAAAATAACTGGAAGAGAAGATGTGCAATGTTCCCAACACAAAGAAATGACAAATGTTCGAGGTGATGGATATCCCAAATGCCTGATTTGATTATGTATTATATGCATGAATCAAAATACCACACATATCCCAGAAATATATACAAATATTATGTATCAATACCAAGAAAAAAGATTATAAGCTCAGCTTGAGGAAGTTGGAAAGTTTTCATAGATTAAAAAGTATGCTTCCATGAACACACTCAACACCAAGTTAAAGAGCAAGGATAAGAGAGAAAAGAATTTTCAGATATTCAGTGTAAACCAGCATAAAGTAATAATGGTTTTCTAAAAAATTTTATCAGGACCACCTAGTAGCCTTGAATTACAAAGAACTCAAGGAAGAAGGCAGTTCTCCCACTAAAGTATCATAAAAGAACACTTGCAGAAAATGTTTTTATGAACTAGATTTCATACACAGTCAGGGGTGTCCAACCTTTTGGCTTCTCTGGGCCATGTCAGAAGAATTATCTTATGCTACACATTAGATATACAATCACTAATAAAAGGTGAAGAGCTAATAAAAGGGCCTGTGCATAATCACCATGTGGTCCATGGGCCACAGGTTGGACACCCCTGCTAGATAATGTTTCATTCACAGAAGAAAAAAAGAGGGCAATGGTGTGGCATCAGTTACACGACTTACTTAAGCTGGAGCACTTGGTCTTCCATCAAAGAAATGAGGGGAGCGATGACAAGGCCAATCTTGCCAGCATAAACAGGGGGATACTGGAAGCACAAACTCTTTCCATATCCTTAAAATAAAAATAATACATTCTAGAAATAAAAACAAACCCTTGATACTTTAATTTCTTACAATGTACCTGTACCACAGAATGGTCAACTAACATGCCATCCTCATACAAGCTACTTCACGCATAAATCTGAGCAGGTAGGCTCTGTGTGCTTTCTTCTGTACTTTATTCCATTTGTATTTGAAGAGTTTAGTGAAAGATTAAGCATTTTAAATACTTAAAGTTTTCTTTTCTAATGATTAGGCTGGTTTTTTTTTTTGAGTACAACTTACCAGTTGCCATGACAACAACATTATCTCTTCTTTCTTCTAAAACTGAATGAATCACTTTCCACTGAACCCTTGAAGGTAAAAAGCAAAAAACTATTTTGTTTTATTAACAAGAAAGCCAGGTACAAGTTAAAACCCAATTAATTTTTTTATTTCTACTAATAAAATGTCCTTTACATTTCTGAGCTTCATATATAAAGATGTACAAACCCAAGGACTTTAAAATGAAGAACCCCATTTGATCAACCTTCCAACCTCCTAGCTAACAACTAGGAGTTTCAATTTGATATATGCATTAAATTTCCTTACATATACCTAAAGTATATTATTAATTCTAAGCTTCATACTAGATATCTAAAAAAAAATCAATTCTTTAACATAAATAAGAGAAATACTGCAGAGACAAGGACTGGCTGAGAAGGGACACGAGGGAACTTCGGGAGGTGGTGATAATGACATTCTACATCTTTAGGTTACACAGGTACATGCACAGACACTTAAAATTCCACATATCCTTCTACGTAAGTTTTATATCTAAGAAAAAAACTATAAAAAATATTTATTCTAGTTAATAATTTAAGGCTAAAGTATAACATTAGGGGGAAGTATAACAATGTCCTCAATGGACCCTGAGATGCATTTTTAAACTTCAATGGATTAATGGACAGTTAGAGAGAATGTTAACAATTGAAATGAAGTGGTGGGTACACGGGCATTCACAGAAAACACATTCTTCCAACTTTAAGGTATCTTGGAAATTTTTCTTTAAATGTCAAGGGAAAAATCATAGAAAAGTGATCTTCTGGTGTACTGAAGATCTTACTTCATTATGACCTACTCTTACCTAAGTGCCAGTTATACAGGGGGCTCAGTTTATGAAATGTCATCGATCTGTACCCCCATGTGTATTTTTCTGTATGTGAAACAAAAATTAGAAGTTGTTAAGAACAAAAGGAATAAAGAAAAGAAATATTTCAGTGTATATTTTAAATTCCCAGAATAGAAAAAAAATCTACTCCAGATTCTCACGTTTATTAATTATACTCAAATTTATTTTTTCCTCATCTCATTTTTATTCATTTCATTTTTATCATTATAAATGTGCCTCTTAGACATAGCACATTTTGAGTATGTTAAATACATAAGATTACTGCTGTTTGCAGAACTGTTACATAATGAAGATATTACATCGGCATGCTTTGCACGGTATGATGCACAAAACAGGTACAGAGACACTTCTTTAATAAAAAACAAGTCAGCATGAAATTAAAATGTATTTATAAGTGTCTTTAAACTACTTTCTACACAGAATCACTCAATTAAAGAAAAAACATTTTTCCTAACTTATAAAAACAAGTTACAGAAATGAATTTATAAATACTTCGTAATAATTTTATAGTCACTTATAAAAAATACAGTGTGGCAAGAAAAACTACGTTAACTATTGTGCTACTGCTAAGTGGACGGGTTATTTGCTTTTTTCTCTGTGAAGAAAATACTAAATATGTGATTTAATAATTAACTGAGATTATACTTACGGTTTAAAACTGGAATGGCCAAAGTAGGTCTTAAGGAAAGTAACTTGCGCTGTGTTGGGTACTGGCAACAAACAGTCTTAAACAAAAAAAGAAAAAGGCCATTTATGTTTAAATAGAAACACACTAGATTAAAGGGAGAAAAAGTTTATTCCCTTGGCTTCTTTTAAAGAATACAGTAAGAGGTAACACGAGTTACCGTTTTCTGTCTATTCTGTCTAATTCCAGTCCAATTGGGGCTTTTGAGTACCTGTCATAATTTCCGGTAAACACTTTGGCTACTACTAAGTATCAGAATTTTGTTGTGATTTACATTTTGCCAGCATTGTAAAAAAACAATGTTTTAAAACCCAGGTATAGTTCCAAAATTTAACATTTAGAAAAAATTATAGCAAGCAATTTACCAAATCCAAATTTTATACTGTAACCAACTTTTAATTAATGGTAACAAGAAATCACATTAATTTCACCAAGAAAAGTCTACAAATAAAATAGAATCTTCATTTCAACCACCTAACCCTGAACCTAGTTACATCTAAGTTTAGTAACCTAAATCTAGTTTCATTATCAAAGTCTAATTAAACCGGGTAAATTTCGTTACCTAAATCTTTGGTCAAAGCTACAATGGAGTTATGTTAGCTCTACCCGACTGAGTTTCACTGTTCACAGTTAGGCTCAAAGATTCACGAGTGGCCAAAAAAGGGCAGAATAAAGAATCAAAATAATTTGTCACTAGACAAATAAAATCTCATAATTACACTTCTCAGTGTCAATAATGTTAAATATAAACTGATTGAAGCAATTGTGTCTGTGATACAAGAAAACAAACAGGAAAACATTTTATCAACAGCACTACCTTTACTCTATTTTTATAAGTAAGAAAATTATGTTTTATGAAAACAAAAGCATAAGGAATTCAATGGCAAGCTTATGGTATCCAGTAATTAACTAGGTCACAAAGTCCCTGACAGCCAAAACATTAAAACCTGGAGACAATGGTAGGTGAGTCATTTCAAACCGATTTCAGGCTTACCCTTCTCACCCTCGTCGTCTTCCTCTTCAATAGCTTCATTTTCATCTTCATCTTCTTCTTCAGTAGGAAGCCCCAGATTTCTTTCCATTTCTGAGCATTTAGAATGAGTTGGTGCTATGGCGCCACTATTAAGGTTTTCTAAAGACTAAAAATGTAGAAGCGATTTTAAAAGCAAAACCACTGACAGTGTCCTATCTTTTTCAGCAAACACAAAAGGAGTATTATTAACAGAGCCTACAATTTGTTCAAAGCTGGCAGATGTGCAAGCAATTATCACAAAAGAACATGTGTGCTCCAGTTTAAATACGCACCCATGAAGAGTTTGTAAGGCACAAGGCCAAAGATGGAATACTTCCAGCTTAATAAACAAGGTTCACTAACAGCACCTAACAGCTGCCCCTGGGGAAGCTATCGTAAATTTTGATCTTAGAGAATTTAAAAAGTTTTTTTTCTCTATCATACTTCAATGTTTTTATTCCTCAACTGGTAAATTTAGATTTTAATGTTATTTTTTTATAATCATCTGTCACAGTCACATTCTATTAATATTTTACCAAAGAGAAGGCTTAAACTCTAAGCAAACAATAAATGTTTTAGAATTGTCAAAACAAAAGAATTCAAATAATTTTAGAAAAGGAATACTGCAAATTTGAAACAGTTACTTGTTTTTATTTTGGCCTGACAGTACCTAATTTTCTCCCCTAAATAGAGATTATCTATTTTAGAAACATTAGGATATTTCCAAACTGTTTCCTCTACAAAATTTTTTACTGAGCCACAATTTTCATTTTCTCTTTCTAGCAAACCTTTCATTTAATATCTTGACCTCAAAGGTTTTTTCAAGAACTGTACTCATTTCAAGCCTGTAAGAGGAAAATTAAAGTGATTCTGTATCTGATTTTTCAATTCAAGCCTAGAAATATACTTACAAAGTATTCTTAAAATAGGGTCCTCTAATATAGGAACCCAGTTTGCCATCTCAAAGACTTATATATATATGAATATGTATATATATGTTTGTAGAATTCCGTAAGTATCCTATAGAGGCATTACTTCAAGAGCACTTGTCAGAGTTTCTCCTCAGAGAAATGGTTAATAAAGAAATATCATTTAATATTTATGTTCTACTACTATTATTAGCTGATTTTAAATAAACACTTACTAAATGCTAGGCTCTGCAGTAAGCTCTTCACAACCAACACCTCCAATAACTATCATTATAACTCTTGAGTGAGTATCAAAGATGCTAAGAAACCCCATCATCCCACAAATGGACTAATAAAACTGTGGTATACGTACACCATGGAATACTATTCAGCCATTAAAAAGATGGAGACGTTACATTTTTTATATTAACCTGGATGGAGTTGAAATACATTCTTCTTAGTAAAGTATCACAAGAATGGAAAAGCAAGTGTCCAATGTGCTCAATACAAATACGAAAGCAGTAGGTGAGCAAATACACACCCACATAAGGAGAAAACTCAATTCATTTCTTCAAGTTGTGGCAGGTGAGGAGGGGGAGGTGTGCTCCCACCTAGTGGGCACAATGTAAGGGTATACGGCACACCTCCAGGGTGTAGGACACAACTACAGCAGGGACCTTTCCTAACAAATGCAAACATTGAGATCTAATCATTTGTACCCTCATATTAATCTGAAATAAAAAAAAGATGCTAAGAAACTTGCCCCGTCACACAGCAAATAATTGGAATGGTAAGATTTAAACCCCCATCTGAATTCAGAATTTCATCCTTGGTCAACTAAGCCTCAAAACTAAGAATAAGGAAATTAATCTCCTTTCCTAAAAAGGAAAAGAAAATCACATCAACCCAAAGATGAGGAATAAAAAGTACACATAATAGTCAACTTCTGTGTTTTCCTTCATTTTTTAATTTAATTTAGCCAAATTAGCTTTTCTTTCTCATACATCTTGGTTCACAAAACCTGACAAAGAAATGGGAGGTTGAAAGAAATAGAAAATAGATAAAGCACTATTTTCAACTTTGATAATAAAATGGAGTAAAACCAAACCAATCATTAGAAAACTGTATATAATTTAAAATATCCATACTAAATAATACTAAAGAAAGTAAAGAATTCTGAATGTATAAAAACAGAACTTTCAAATAAAAAAAAAATACACAAGGATGGGAATGTAGGTTCGTGTTTCCTGGTTCTTATCTCAGTACCAAAGACTGGTTACTTGGACCAAGTCAACAGAACCAAGTGAACAGAACAAACAGATGCCAGCAAGCCAAACGGCAACATTTATTAAGACCGTACCCTTCAGAGCAGGACCAGGGCTCCTCCACGAGTGAACACAACCCTGAGTTTTTAGCACAAACATTTTTAAACAACGACTTGACAGCCCCTCCTTTCTCTAGCTGGAATTTTCACTTCCTGCCCTTGAGTGACTGACATGTTTTCCTTACATAAGTCCTTCAGTCTATACACAAGCGTCTTCCCAAAATCCACCATAAAAGCCCATGGGAGGGGGGGCCAAGACAGCAATGCTAATTAGATGGTAATGAAGCCAGGTCAGTTGAGGACCAGTGAAACCCCTCGAGTACCCGCTCCAGTTCACCCCATTTGTGGCCTTGACCGTATATCCAATTTGTGGTTTCTATACCTCCCTCTGATTGGTCAGTTCTTAAATTATCCTAACAAAGACAAAACATCTCTTCCTTCCTCCTTATCCCAATCTAGCATGAAGAAAGGGAATCTAATTTCAGTACTCGAGAACTTGATCACTAACCATGCTAGGAAAAAATTAAAAGAACACGAGGACAGACAGTGATATGGAGGCCTGGAGGCAGCCTCCCAGCGAGCGGCTCCCAGAGGAAGAAGGGAAAGCTGGAGGAAGCTGCCTTCACATAGATGCCTCATCTCCAAAGCAGCACTGTGAAGCCACAGAGAAGCAACGCGGAACACTCACTGCGGGAACACTCACTGCAAGAGCACTCACTGTGGGAACACTCACTGCAGGAACACTCACAGTGGGACAAAAGGTGACAGCTTACCAGGTTTAGAGATAATCACACGGGGTATAACTAGTTTAGAGAACAGGAGGGGAACAACAGGAACGGGAACACAGGAGCAATACGAGCACCCTGCTAGCACAGGGCCCCTGAACTGTAGGATAGTTCCCAGCGCCCCCACGATTCTCCTACCTGCTCAGACAGGGCATGGCCTGAACTCTGTTCAGAGTCATAGCACAAGACAACAGGTGCTGTGAGAATTAGATACAGCGGAAGCCACTGTGAACTCCCAGGTGCACTGCGCCAGGCCTACACCAGGCAGGGGAGGAAGCAGACTGATTTGTGGCTTTCCTCAGTCATATCCTGGATCATCGAGTGAGGTGATTCACCCGTAGGGTGCAGCAGGACCTGAACACGGGAAATGACCAGAATGCAACAGGCTCTAACTGGAGAAGATCTAGGCGACTGCTTTTACAGGTTGGATGGGATATGGAAAGCTAAGACCTCCACATGTCTGACCAGGCATCTGTAGGACTCTGGTGCCAGAAAAACAGGCCCCTGTTGCGCAGTACAAGTCCACCCTCTAGCCACCAGTTTCTTCGGGACTGCTTAGGCCCAACCCCACCACCTTGGTTAGTGTGGCCCACCATGTACACACCCACTCTCTGGAGCTCAGGGGCTCTGTGCAGAAGTCTTGCTTCCAGCTCCACCCCAGTCCTGGGTCAGAGGAAGTGAGGTTGGGGCACAGCAGGCCCTGATCTGACTGCCCCTGAGACATACCCTCAGCCTGTCACGAGTGGGGCGTGAAGAACTCCATACTCCCTTGGCCACTGGAGACAACCTCCACCTGCCTCACTTAGCATTTGCAGGACCAGAGTTCACAAAGCTTGCCACTTGCCCGGCCAAGAATCTGCCCTCCAGCCGCACTGCCTCCTGCCTGCCTGGCTCTGCCCATACCCTTAAGGCCAAATCCACTGGACATCTGCATGGCCCTACCTCTGGCCCACAGCTCTTACTCAGAGACTTTGCTTCTACCTCTACCCCCATTCTGGCTCAGAGGAATTCAACTGGAGGCATAGCAGGTTCCAGACTGAAAGACCTGCCAAGAGGTTGTTTCAGCAAGCCCGAACTGCAATAAGGCAAGCCCCCTGCAACCTTGATCTCCAGAGGTAAACTCAAACACCCTGACTTGACATTTGCAGGACCGATGCCTGAGGAACAGCCTGCTGCTTGCTTACTCCTTCTGCCTTCTGGACCCCAACTGCTCAGCCCTGACTGCACCCTCCAGATCTGGCCAACCAGCCCCATTTTTGGCTCAGAGCCCTACTAAAAGATTCTGTTTATAGCTCCCCCCAGTACCAGCTCTGAGGCACTCAAGCCAGAGCCTGAGGTCCTGTCCCTGTGCTTCCAGAATTGACATATTGAAGACTTCATCCCCAAGTCTCCAGAGATGCACCTGGACCTCAAGACCACACCCCAAGCAGAAGTAATGAGCTGCCCTAAAGTCTAACATCTTGCCTGAGATGCCTTACTCCCCCCCCACCCCACCCCGGTCCTAAGCTGCCAGCACACACTGACTTGCCTTTTGCAAACACCCACAACTGGGAACCAACAAAAACCTTTCCCAGCTGCTATGGGGAGACACCAGGTAGCACCATCCCCACAACACCAGTCTCTGGGAAAAGAGTCTCAACCAGCTCCTAACTTGAATATGTGACAACTACTGGAAGAATTCTCAGCAAGAGTCCAGCAATCCCATTAACGAAGATTTGAAAGAAATCAGTAAAAGAACCTTGGCAACATGAAAAAATCAAAACAGTTCAGCACCCTAAATGGATCATAATGGAGCGACAGCAGTGATCTTCAACTATAAGAAACTTGTTGAAATGACAGAAATGGAACTCAAAATATGGATGGCAAAAAAGATGAATAGAATTGAAGAAAAAGTTGAAAACCAACAAAAAGAAGCTCAAAAAATGTATCAAGAAATTAATGAAAAGGTCACCGAAGAGCTAAATGAAGCATGTTATTGAATTTAAAGGATGAAAGGGTCATTCAGGGATTTTCAAAATGCAGCAGAAAGTTTTAGCAAAAGATTAAACCAAAGAGAAGAAAGAACTCAGAGCTTGAAGACCAGGCTCTTGACCTAAGGCAATCACTTAAA